GAAATCTGTGAAGGCTACTATCTGACTGCAAGCAATATGTCTTAGTTCAGAATCTTTGAATAAAGTAGCTGCTAACCTATAGCCATGTTCATCTCCAGAGATGACACAGTGCCAGGTAAAATACCCCTTCTCTTCCCAAACAACCACAGGCCATCCCCTATGCTCCATGTAGAGAAATGAGAGCACCACATTTCCTAATATTTTGAAGTGACAAGCAAATTGGAAATCTATGGTTCTTTTATTATAGAAGATTGTGTCGCTTGAATCTTGGAAGTAACAGTCTTTTTTTTCTCCTGGCTTTTACTTGGCTGGATGATTTACACCTATGCAAAGGGGTTTGCTGACAGAACAGAATTAGAGCTCTTATTTTAGTCTGTTGTAAATGCTTCCTCAACATGCAGCAGCAGTTCCTAAAGAAGAAAGAAAAAAAAAAAAAGTTTGAGCATCACTGTGGAGACTGTACAAGTAGATTTAGCTTTTCTTCCTTTGGTGGCTTTAATGGTACAGTAATAAAGATAGTTTAAGACTTGGTAAGGCAACTATTCCTCCAAGCTCATCTTTCTGCTTTGTTTACCTCTGCAATAAATACTCAGAGATGAGAGATGCCCACTGCTTCCGTCACTTTCTGCTTGCAGCCCCAGGGGATGAGGCACAGTGTTGGCTGTGGGCAGAATTACAGCAATATAATCCAGCATATCTTTCCATCCTGTTGTGAAGTGTTTGCTAACCTAAGTGTTGGATGCATCAGCCTGCAAATTGCCAGGTTGGATGGGGCTCTGAGCAGCCTGATCTGGTGTCTGATTTAGTGGTTGGCAGCCATGCATGCAGCAGGAGGACTGGAATGAGATGGTCTTTGAGGTCCCTTCCAAGCCATTCTATGATTCTGTAATTCTGTGGTTCTACGAACTATCCTTAGCTCTGCTGTAGGATCAGCCCAGCTGTGTGGGAGACACCCAAAAGGTGTGGATTACTGCTGTAGTGTAGGCATAGGCTTCCCTGCAGCATCCGTGGGGGTTCCCCCTTCACAGTCCATGAAGGTTCTCCATTGGCTTTGCTCTGAAGTGTAACACTTTGGCTAGGTGGAGAGTGAAGAATCACAGCCTTCAGGGACTAGATAGAAGTACTCCTTGCTGTATGTCCCTGTGGCGAATGTGTGAAGTTTTATATAAATACCTTTGGAGTTTGATGTGGTCTGTCATCAGGTCCCACAGTCCTTCACAAAATCCAGCTGTACGACAGACAAGAGATCAGCTGAAGTCTTACAATGTGAATAATATCCTTCTGCATGCTTGTAGCACCCTGGCGTAATTATGCCTCTGACAACTATGGAATATATTCACATGCAGATACTTCACCTGTTTCTGCTTAAGCCACAGATCGTGCTGCCCAGTTCTCTTCTCCATGCATTACAATTTTTACTTTCGTTTGCACAAGAAAATCTGCAGTGGTGGGAACTACAGCTGTTGTGTAAAAGGCAAATGAGTGGCTTTAAGTATGCTGTGCTCTCTGGCATAGTTGTACCCAAACCTACTTGTCCTCTTAAATGCTTTCCCCATTGCAATGCAGTTGAACTGTGCCAAAGAGGATGCTGAATCTTATGAGGTTTCTCTGCTTTGTATATGAATATTTACAATTTCCATTTCCTTATGGGAAAAGAAAACAAAGCTCTTCAGGAACAAGTATTACTGTCAGAAGTGGCTGAGCTCCTCAGTGCCCTGCCAGGTGACACAAGGAGCTGGGAGGGGACAGCACCAGGACAGGTGACTCAAATTAGCCAAAGTGATGTCCCACATCATATGGCATCACACTTTGCAATAAAAGCTGGGGGAAAAAAGGACAAATGAGGGGGATGCTGGGAGTGACAGTGTTTATCTTTCCTTCAGTCTGTCACCGCAGAGAAGGGAAGCAGCTGTCACTGCATCTGCATCTTCACTATGCCCATTTTAAAACTGGATAAATTAATTACAGATACGATCATTCAAAAAACACAGTGTAAGCAGCTGCGTGCTGGAGATTGTGGATTTGGTGGACCATAGTTCCTTGGTAAAGAAAACAGCAGCCGTAGGAAATGCTCACGCAGCAGTGTGACATCTCTTGTATTATTTACTGCGTTGTCTTTGCAATTCCTGTGCATACAGAAATGCACAGCAAGAGGTGTTATTCTTCCTAAGAGATGCCCTTTTGTTTTCCATTCTTGGAGTGCTAATTTTTACAGTGCTGCTGTAGCTGGGTAAGTCCATTACAAAGTTTGTATTTTAGGTCCTCTGTATCTCTTTAGACTGTTTTACTTGCTGTTGTGTGGAAGGCTTTTTCAGAAGCAAATTCTGTTCATCAGAGATACCCCTTTAATTACCTTCCACACTTGTGAGGGAGTAGAATATAAAGAAAGCTAATAATAATACTAATAATAATAGTAATAATAATAATAATAGTCACATATCTTGTTACCATTACATGTTAAAATCAAATCCTGCAGGGACTGGAGCTTCGAGGCCTTATTTTTATTGAAGATCTTAATAGCATTTAATGTAAATTAAATATAATCGGTGTCTTATTCCTGAGCATATCTGTGAGGCTGAAGAATAAGAAGTTAATTGAACTGACAGCATAGTGGGAACTACTAAAATCAAGCACCAGCGTGTTAGTTAAAGTGCATTTTGAATTAAGTGGTGGAAAGAAGAACTTCTATTTTTTTTTATTCCCTCACCCAGTTTTTTTGGTAGCAACTCACTGCGAAGCCTGTGTGATGTATGGATTTGTTACATAAGGTATCTAACATCAAATTTGCATTAGAATACAAATGCAGGAGATTCTTTTTGGCTTTAGAAATTGGGCAGGATCAGACGCATAAGCCTAACATACAATTTTACTTTGAGGATCAGTAATTGCTGCTACGTAAATCCCTGACGTGTTCAGCAGGCAGATAATTTAATGAGGTCTGCAAAATAACTGGACGTCAACTCTAGCATTATAAAAGGCTCCGTCTTGAGATGGCTCCTTATGGAATTCATGCACTTGGTGGCAAGATTTACTTGATTAAAAGATTAGAGACGACTCTAATTGTTTAGTCCCTCAGGGTAGGTGATTGGGCAGGATTCAATTCCCTGCTCCCTCTCTTGTGACGGTGATGTGGAATACCTGATTGTGGCAGAGATGACCTCATCTATTTCAAATTAAAGGTAATGTAATTAGTCTGCTGGTGTTGTGGGCCATGCGATCATAAATAAATGCATTTTGATGAATGGATGCAGAAATGTTATCTTAATTTAACTAAGGAGAGCTCAGAAAAACTAGCTATCTGATCCAATCTTGTCTTTGCAGTAGATTGTTTTTCTTTCCTCTGTGGTGCCAAAGGATCCATGCCTTCTCTGCACATGTTCAACACTTAACACACATCTGAATTACTGTTCTATACCTAAGAGATGTCATGGTCATGGTATGCTAAGCTTTTCCTTAACTACTGGGTAGGTCCAATGCATACAGTTAATGTACTTTTATCCTAGAAGTTTTCCCACCTGTTCTGTCTGTGCAAAGAACTTGATTTTGTGGATGAAAATATCCGAACTTGCTTGTGGTGGTGAACGTTGCAATTCTTGTTCTGTCTGCTCTGTCCCAGTGCTTACTGATAAGGCTCAATATATTAGTAGCTAAGTTGTGCTAGGTAAAGGCTGTGCTTGGGGCTGTGCTTGTTCCTCAAAGGAGAAAGGGAAAACATTGAAAAAAGTCTTGAAAGAGATAGTATCCATCAGTTCTGTCAGAGCAGCAGGAGTCATAGGATCATTAAAGTGTGAGAAGACCTCTAAGATCATCTAGTCCAACCAGCAGCCTATCCCCACCGTGCCCACTAACCATGTCCCTCAGTGCTGTATCTACCCTTTTGTTGACAACCTTCAGCAATGGCAACTTCGCCACCTCCTTGAGCAGCCTGTTCCAATGCCTCACCAATGGAAGAAGCTAAAAGATTGAGACATGCCCTGGGTTTTCAGGACAGAAAGGTCCTAATGAGCTTTTTTTTTTTAATCAGAGAGCTTCCATTCACTCTGCATCCTGCTGACTGAAAAAGAGTAACTGACAAATGAGTTTTTCACTACAGCTATGACTTAAGATATCCTCTAAGGAAGAAAAAGATCATTTTCTTTAGGTGTTTTTTTGAGCCTTTCCTGACTTTTTGATTGAAACATAATTGGAAGCCACCCCTTTCTTCAAAAAAAGGTTTTGAAGCTCAAAAAAAAAAAAAATGGTTTGAAGTTCTCTATGGGGAATTTTAGAGGCTAAAAATACTCCATTGACCTTATGAAGCTTGGAACTACTGGGCTGAGCTAAATCCCTATGGACGGCACTTACATCACTTTCCCTTACTTTGTTTGGTCCTGACCAGAGATGCCAGTGACCAGCTTACGAGACACTGTAGTGGAATTTGAGGTGCAAAAGGGAATCACGACTCTCTTGGCTTGCTGCCTGTGTGTTTTAGTTCTTAGATGTGCTCTGATATTCCTCTGTGCATAGACAGTGCTTCTTTGGAGCTACTGTGTCATTAGCAGGGAGGTCACCATTATAAGGAAATTTGTCCTGCTCAATCATCTGCCTTTTTCTCTCCCCAGCAACCATAGTTTTCTGGGCAAGCCGTCAAAAACTTCCCCATCCCATCTCTCTTTCCTGTATAAGCCTTATATTTATAATTTCTGTTGCAATACCATCCTTGTGTGATGGCCTGGCTACCTGCTAGATCCCCACTTTCTCTTCCCTCATTGACTTTGTAGGTCTACAGCCATTTTCTTTGTGCTGTTGAGAGAGGGATGTTTTGAGCAGCTCCTTGCTAGGAGTTCCTACAGCCCTATCTGTTATTGCTACTCAGAACCCAAGACTTGCATGGTCCTACCATGGCTTCATGTAATGTATGTTGTGTTGTTTCAACCGCTCTGCAATTTGATGAAGCTCTGTAAGTATTCATTATGCAATTAATTTCAATTGCATTTCACATCATCTCTCCTCTTCTGCAGGCATGCAATCCAGCAAGAGACTAACAAAACCATCACGACTAGCACCAAAGCCATCAAGCAGCTGTCTGAGGTTGTCAGAGGCTCATCCAGGGTATGTGTCGTTCAAGATGCTTTGGGAGAGAGTGCTGAGGCTTGTGGAGGGAGGAATAAAGAAAAAAGAAGTGGGTAGTGAATCCTTTAAAGCTGTTGAACCCCGTGTCTTGTTATGTCTTCCTTTACTGTTACACAATAAGCATGGCTTGTGTTTCTGTTGGAAAAAGCTTCGGAATCCATTCTTCTCTCACAGCCTGGATCATGTGGAATACAAAAGCAGCAATTTTGTAACTGGTCTCATGCAGTTTGGATGAAAATACAGAGATTATCCATCTCTACATGAGTTTGGAGTTGATTAAATACTCAGTAGTGCAGTAGATGCACTTGCTGCAGATGAATTTATAAATGTGCTCAGAAGTCCAGAAAGAGCAGAGCAGCGCAATGTTTGCATGTGGCATTCTTTCAAGGAAGGCAGTGGTGGGGACAGATATTTACATGCTATGGCTGGATCAGAGCCAAACTTTGTATTACAGATGACCCCATGGCAATCTCATCTGTTGTGTGGACACAGTGGTCTTCTGTCATCAGTCGGTTCAACTCACATGAACATCTTTGTCAAAGGAGTAGGAGTATCTCCCATTCCCTGATTCCAGTGACAATCAAATAATTTCTGACCTTTCCTCAAGGACTTTTAGATCCCATACATTCCTGTTGAATTTGACCTGAAGGGAAGAGCAGCAGCTTAACGTATGGAATCCTGGGGAGCAAACTCCAGGTGTGAAAGTTGAGAAGTTTCACCTTTGTCCAAATGCCTTTAACAGTCCAGATTTAAGTCACTTGCAAACAAGCACCTGAGAAAAAGAGTTAAGAGTCAAATCACCCCTAAATGACTTTTCCATTTATTGGCATCAACCTTATGCAGGCATCAGCCTTAGTACTTGATGGTTATTAGCACATTTCTTTGATTAATAGTGGATTTCAAGGCCTATATTTTTTCCTTGCACACTCTGAAAATAATTGCATCAGACCTTGATGAAACAAAAGTTTTCTTCTTGGAGGTATAGAGATCTGGGCACCGTTTCGTGACGTAAATTGGGTCCAAAGGGAAATCAGGCAAGGTCATGTTAAAGCCAATTATAGTATCATACAAAAACATCAGTATTAGCCTTTGAAGTCAGTGTTGTGTCCAGTAGAAAGGCTGTCAGCAGAACAGCCTTTACTGTCGTGGAGAAAAACTGCTAAGTTAAAGGGGGGATATTTAAGACCGGAAGGAAATTGACACATAAACAATTTTAGTAATATGAGGAATAAACTTGCTGCTCTCTACTGGCATCACCTAATAACTTTTTCTACTCCCTGGTCAATTCGTTTAACGGATTTTAGTATTTTTAACTCTTCTTTTCCAACAGTTTGCAGTTCAAGTAATTAAACCTACAGATTTTGATATAAAGCCTGAAGCCCTTCTCCCTTATATAGAATTAATGATTGTGGTGGGTATCAACTGCTGCGTTGGCAAGTCCCTACTGGGGATCTTGGTAGCAGTTCAAACTTTCCTCCCATAAAATTTCTCAGTTTGAAAATAATTCATTAATTTAGAGCTTTATAATCAGACCTTCCCAACCCATTATTCTGTGTATTGCTTTGTCTGCAGCCATGGACAAAAAAATATATATCCTTTTCCCCCCTGGTTTTCCAGCTATAATGCTGGCACCAGCCAGCAAAGTGCACAGTGGGAGTTTCTCTGACTTCACTTGAAGCTCCAGGTGCTGTTGAGCTGTTGGAGTCAGGATGCCTGACTGAGCAAATTGATAGTATTTCAGGAGCAAAGATACTGATGTAAGGGGATCAGTGTGATACAAGGCAGGAGATGGATGTAAAATAGCACATGGTTATTTTAGGGCTTCCTTTTAAAGTAATCTCAAAGGGCTTAAATGGAGAGGCCTATCTGGATTCCGTGTTTCTGTAGAATGAGTGCTGGACCATTAGATCAGCTCTCCAGGGTGTCTGTCTTGTCTTATTTTGCGTAAGTAACAAAGTTTATAGGCCTTTATTGGTAGAGTGGGAATAATGATATTTACCCTGTTCTAAAAATGGTTTTAAATCTTTGGATGATGAACTATAAGACTGGGAATATTCTTCTGTATGAAAATGCTCCCATTAAAAATTAAAGCTGTTTATCCTATCCTTTATAAAATACTTTCATATTCTTAAGCAGTTGTCTGAATGTTGTGGTTTAACCCTGAAAGCATGTCAGCACCACATGGCCTTTCGCTTGCTTCCTTTCTCCCAGAGGGACTGGGGAGAGAATCAGAAGAAAAAAAAAAAAGAGAATTCATGGGTTGAGATAAGACCAATTTACTAAGACAGAAAAGTAAGAAATAACAGTAATGGTAATAATATATATTCATATAATGTGTTTATGTGTATGTATATTTATATTTACAAAACAAGTATTGCACAAAGCAATTGCTCCTCACCTGTCAACCAGTGCTCAGTCAGTCATTGAGCAATGCTGGCCCCTAGCCAAAACCCATGAATTTACAGTTTCTTCACGTGATCATATGGTATGGAATATCCATTTGTCCAGTTTAGATCAGCTGTCCTAGTGCTGTCCCCTCTCAGCTCCTTGTGCTTCCCCAGACCCCCCAAGAAAGAGTCAACTACTTGAATTAGCTCTTGCTAACCAGATCTTTGTTCTCCCAACACAGCAAGAACGACTTCAGCTGGATAGGCTGAAGAACCAGCTGTCTGATGCTATCCAAAGATACGGAGCTGTGCAGAAGGTGAGGGGCTCTCTTGTTTTTACCTTTCAGAGTGTGTATTTGGGAACATAATAAGTGGGAGCTAACACAACTGCTAGGAGCATGGAACATCTCTGTACAGCTTGTCTCATCTCTACAGCTGTCCCTCTTCATTGCAGGGGAGTTAGACTGGATGACCTTTGAAGGTCCCTTCCAACTCCAAAGCATCTGAAAGAGGGCTATGAAGATGGGGAAGGATCTGGAGGGCAAGATAGATAAGGAGCAGCTGAGTCCCTTTCTTTGTTCAGCCCAGAGCAGAAGAGTCTAAGGAGAGCTCGCATGATGGCCTACAGCTTCCTTATGAGGGAGCTGTGCCAAGGGAGGGCCAGGTGGGTGTTAGGAATTGGTTCTGCACCAGAGGTTGGTGGGCATGGAACATCAAGCTCCCCATAGCAGTGGTCACAGCCATGAGCTGCTGGAGTTTGAGGACACCACTCTCAGACATAGAGTTTGGATTTTACGTGGTTCTCTATGGAGCCAGGAGTTGGACTTGGGTTCCTTCTGGCTTGGGATAATCTGTGGTTTTATAATTCTATGCTGAGCAACAACGACAGAACAACAGAAGAGGAAAAAAACAAAACTGTGCCTTTGTTTATGTGATGGACACTCAGTGGTAGCCCTGTCTTAGCCATTACAATTTTTTTGTGTTTCTCCACTCAGTGGGAGAGCAAGAAGTAATTGAACAGTGTCCCCTTCACCTCTGTTGCAAACAATGTACAGGCAACACTGCTATTCACCTTAATTGTTAGCCCCCTGTATGGCTCTGCTGTTCTCTATGTCTCTGGCAGAAGGTTTCCAAACACATCCTGTGGGTTGGACCTGTCAGGGAGATCAAGCTGTTTAATAAAACAAACAAATGCTGAACTCTAGATCTTCCGTTCGCATCTTGCTCTTCCACTTTACCCTAGGGACATTCTGCAGATTTGCTTTGCTTTTAAACACTGTAGTAACAATTTAAATTTACCATCCTCAAAACACTTCTCTCTCCTCTGCTGCTACCTGCATATAACAAATTTGAACATATATCTGGATTAATTGAATTCTGTAGAAATATAACCTACATGATCTCTCATACTACTCTAGTGCATAATACTCTAGTGCATACTACTCTAGTGCAATACTCCATGCCTGCAACACCTGGGAAGAATATACTGGAATTATACTGGTATGAAGAAATTTGGCTGGAAACAATTTCTCTTATTATAACCATTCTGCTCTGATTGATTCTCCAATACTTGCTGGATATGGTTTTAAAAAAATTATAATAAGTGCCTAAAATTGCTCTTCAACAGCATGTATATACTATAATATCATTTCACTATCTCTACAACTATTAACTCTTTTTCTGCCCTATTCATAAACACAAGTGTGGGGGCTTTAAATGAAATGTCTTTAACCCATTAAATGAGAAGTTGAAAGGATTCAGGTAAAGGGTTCCAGCCTCATATATACACACCTTTTTTGTACTTTTTTAGTGTTCACGAGTACAATCCATCTGAATTGTGTGTCTGCATTTTTTTTTTTTTTTAACTGTCATCAATTCAGAAGAGACAAAATTAGCCTCTGCATTTTGTGAATGCCCAGTTGCGTCAGGAAACCAATCTGAGCGGTAAATTGCTACTTATCTACATCCTAGCTGTCATTTCTTAAATACACGTTTCAGTTCTGATAACCTTGTCATTCTGGAAGCTTTGAAGACTTTTAATTCTGCAGGACCAAAACTTTTCCATGTGGCTATACTCCCTTTCTTTTCTAAATAATAAGATTTTTCTCTTTGTCTTATTCCTTAAGTAGTAGAAGAAATAATTCCCTATGACTTCCTCCTTATGTATTCGGATTGTGTTTTCTCAACCATTTTCTTTCACTTTTTTTCTTCTTCCTTTTTACAGAAAATAGCAGAGAAATCCAAAGCTTTGCTTCCTACTGGGCAGAGAAGTAGCAAACAAGTAAGTTCATGTTTGTCTGTATCTGTAACAGTTGCTAAGAAAGTGCTATTTTCTATCCCACTAATGATGCTGAGGAGCATGTTCCTCCCCCAAGACCTACACTGAAGCCAGTGATGTGGTTTTCAAATAATAGTGTATGACATCTTCGGAGGCAAAAGATACAGCACTGAGGAAGAAGAGACATGTAAGACCTGTTTAATTATTCTCTTCTGTTCCCATGGGACTATTCTTCTTTCTGAGGGTTTCATCTGTTCTGTAGTTTATCAAAGAGCAGTTCTTACACTCTTCTCTGGAAGCTGGTCTTCTAGGCTAAGTGAAATCCCACCCCAAGTGCAAGAAGTAGGTGAGATGGTTTTTATCAGAGCTCTGTGCTTGATTTTAAGAGAGATCACGAATCCTGTGTTCTTCACCTACATTACACTGTGGTTAGCAATTGTATGCATACACACATACAATCCTTTTTCCTGCTTTTAGATATATTAGGATGCTTGTCAATGAACAAACAGTAGATGTACTGAGAGTGCACTATAATCCAAGCATGTGTTTTGATTCATATGTGTAGGTATGCATGCACATATGTGATAAAATATACATGTATGTCTGTGTACATAACAAGGGTGTAAATAAGTTTATGTGTAGATATGCTTGTATATATACATATAAAGTACATGTGTAAGTGTGTGTATAAGAAATCTCCACATGAGAATTTCTGAGAAGGGTGTGATACCAGGAAATCAGGTTGCTGTAGTGTGATTCCTGCAGATATTAAATTGGCCTTTCAGGTCTTGCACAGAGAACAGCTTTTAGGTGCTTGCAAGTGATAATATGGTACCAAAAAATAGAACTGCCTGCCTTATTTTGCGGATTATTTTTTTATATTGATACTCTTGATACTCTTGTCTTTGTTTTTTTAAAGGTACAGTTAGCAGATTTCTTGCTTTCCCTATGAATCTTCATTTCCTATTTGGTCGTACCCCATGGTTTTCCATGTCCTCTTTAACATGTATACAGGAAATGGTTGTAATGTTATTCTTTTTGGTAAGGAAGGATGGTGATGTCACTGAGAACCCTACCATTAGGGCAAGACAGTGAACTAGAGCTTTAATATTACGTAGATTTTAAGGCTACACCATGCTCTGTGCAGTTATATCTAGCTATACATGTCTCTGTTCATTGCAAGGGAGTTGGACTAGATGACTTTTAAAGGTCTCATCCAACTCAAACAATTCTGTGAATCTGTGATTCCATGACTCAGTTGTGGTTTACATCAAACCTTGTTATCACTTGCTAGCTTTTAGGTGTTAGTGCCAAATAAACTAAGGCCTCTGTGTGCCAAAGTGCTAATGTATTCCTGTAGCCTTGTCAGGCATTTCCAATGGCACCTGTGGATTTGTTGATTTTCAGCTGTGTGTTTATAGAAATGTTATGCCTTATTTTAATCCACTAATTGATGATGAGTACTGAACATTAGAACTGTGTGTGATCACAAATAGCATGTTCTTGAATCGTGGTCAAATCCCATGAATGTCAAACAGGCATTGATTTTGATGATTAAGCTCGAAGAGAAGGGGCTTTGTTTTCAGTAAGTTAGCTGTGGTTTGTTTTCTTGTCATGCATATCAAAGTGCTTCTTGTGCTTTTAACCACCTTCATTAGACTACAATCTGTCAGTGGGGTGGGGGTAGCAAGGGTGGGAACAGCTCTAGTCTCACCAAGATTACCACATGGTGGCATGGGGCCATGCCTGTGCCACATGATGGTGGGCACTGACAACAATTAACCAGTGCTCACTGGATGGACTAATTTTTATATAGCTGTTGTCCATCCCTGCACCTGGAGTAAATCTGAATGCAGTCAGATTTTTTGATATATTGATAATGGTTGATGACTCCAAAAAAAGCCTTCTGTAGGAGTGAGCAGAGTATTAACAGAGGGAAAAAAAAAAAAGAAAAAAAAAGAAAAAGATATTGAGTACAAATCCTGGAGGCAAATAAGGGTGAGATTGAAAGTAAAGGAAGGCTGGAGGAAGAGCAGGACAAAGTCTTTTACATTAAAATAGGTGGTAATCCTCCTGGTTAGGAGACTGACTGTATTACTAAGAACTTGATGTCAGTCAGCATTAGTAGATGTGTTAAACTTGCTCAGCTGCAGATTGGTTTTCCTTGTACCTGTCACTTGCAGGACAATGCCTGCGTTTGGCTTTGGTGCATTATGATAAAGTATGTTGTAATATCTCCTTGATGAGATGCTTCTGACTCAGAGATGAGCTTATGCACTCGTTCATGTCTACTGGGCATGGACACTCTCACAGTATGGTTTGTGCATGTACCATGCCTGAGAGCACATCCATTTTCATGCAGTTACACTTGCTTAGCTTGGAGTCATGAGGTTTCATGCAAACTGCTTGAAAAAGCTGATGGATAATTCTCATCCATTTCAGCTGGTTCCTATACAACTGCAGCTTTATTTGAATCTTATTTTCTTGCTCCTTCAAATACAGGAGTGAAATTGGATGTATGAAACATGCTGAAGGGAATGCAGTGCTGTGACTGTTTTACTTATTAGTATTTTTCTGCTGCAGATTGGTCAGACCATGCAAAATTATAGTTCCCACAGCAGCTGTAACCTGACCACCACGTGCATATATTGCATCATTAAAGCTAACACCTTATAAAGTAATGCAAAATACTACATATGTTCAGGACACCTGATTTATGGGTCTGGTGAGACTGTACAGTCAACTTCTTGACTTTGGTGCAGATCCAGTATGAATTCAAATACTGCTTACCTGCAGTTCTTCTGTTTTACTTTCTGCATGCTGCATTTATTATAGCAAATTATGAGAGAATTGAAGGGCACTTGTTTCTTCAACGCATTCATGTAGTTCCTCTCTTCCATTGGTGGATGGGAGAGATGTGTTTGGTAACACAAACTCTAGTAAGTTCCCTTTAGAGAGTAATTAGTTTCCGAAATCCATGTAATAGGTAAAAATTGGAAAGAGGAGCTGCAGAATGATTCTCCTGCCCATTGTGATTTGCTGTAAGAAATGTTTAATTGAGTTTACTTATTTATAACAGCAAAGTAAAGGCATTGATCCAAAATTCCTTGAAGCCTGACGTTGTATAAATTCTTAATCAAATATATGTTGGTATGAATGTATTTGTGTGTAGACCGATCAATGTAGTTCTGTAGCTGGGTTACGTATTGAAAGACACAAATTTTTACAATGCTAAGTGATCGTTGTTGAAAGTGAGTTGTGGTAAATAATTGAAAAAACCTCTTTCCCTTGAATGTATTAAAGCGGTTTTAAATATTTACCAGGTGGCCAGAATGAGACCTCAGATGTCTCATTAAGAGAGCGCACAGAGGAATCCTGAAAAGCAGCAATTCTGTTTCTCTGTGCATGTGTGAGAAATGCTGATGTGGCATGCAGCAGAGTTAGTGGTGTATTTGGTGATACACCGACTCTGGGATGATTGCCTCCAGTGCCTGCCTGTGTAAGGGGCACACATGTCTTGAATCATAGAATCATAGACAATCACAAGTTGGAAAGGACCCATAAGGATTCTGGAGCCCTACTCCACCTTCTCCCACTATATAGATACACTTACATGCAAAGCATCCATTCCTGTTTCCATACAAAGAGTCCTCTGGAGACCAAGGGGGTGTTTTTTGCATCTGACCCCTGAGCAGTAATGCAGAGCCCAGGGCATCACAGTCAGATGTAGACGAGGTTGGGCAGCTGCATATCCTCTTGGGATGAGTCCATTCCACAGGGCAACAGTTGGGATAATAAATTGTGATGATGTTCTAATAGCACAGAACAGATTATCCATAATATTGAAGTAATAAACGATAGCCGGCAGAAAATCCATAGGCGGTTAAAGGAATCTTTCTTTTTAATTATTTTTTAATTACTTTTCATTTCACATCATCCCCTTCCCATTGAAAGAGGAAAGTGTTACTACGTCTGTGTTTGAAACAAGTTTAGGGGCATGGTTTCGTGGGTGTAGTGGTAATAGGATGAAGGTTGGACTTGATGATCCTAGTGATGTTTTCTAACCTTGATGATTCTGTGATTCTAACTTTAAGTGATATTTAATCAAACATCAGACTATACAGAAAAACTTGGACTCCTAAGTACCTTTCTCTGGCAGTACCTAGCTGGGATAACCCATGCTTTGCATTATTATTGCACCAGCGACATGTCTTCAGGCAACCTCAATCTTTTGTGGACCTTAAATGACCCCCTATAGCTGTTTACATTCTCATTTAACAAAGAAGTTTGAATTTCTCACCATTTGAATTTCATGACCAGTTCCCCACAAGAATCATAGAATCACTGAATGGCCTGGGTTGAAAAGGACCACAATGATCATCTAGTTTCAAACCCCTGCTATATGCAGGGTCGCCAACCAACCAGGTCGCAGACCAGGCTGCCCAGAGCCACATCCAGCCTGGCCTTGAATGCCTCCAGGGATGGGGCATCCACAACCTCCTTGGGCAACCTGTTAACAGAACAGGGAGAAAGGAAGCAAAGCTCTGCCTTAGCTGAGGAATGAGTTTAAAACTGAGACCACATAAAAAATCTGTTTTTATTTATTTATTTATTTATTTTTATTTTTTAAGAGGAAACTTTCCTGGCAATTTTTAGAAATCAAAATTACAGTAATTCTCATAATGTAATGGCACCCCTCTCCATTTCCTGTCGCTCATGGGAAGAGGGAGATAATTACTGCTCTGGGACATGACACTTGCCAAAAGAGGTGCCTTTGTCTTTTATTCCATAAGCCTACTTGACCCTGTGTTTCTTAGAAGCAGAAAAAAAAATGGGTAATAAACCTCTATTTGCATTACAAGCTTCTTTCTCCTAACTGCCTCAATTTATTCATGCTTTAAATGGACTTCCTTCTCCCAGGAAGCATCCTTTCTCTTTCTTCCTGTGTTTATGAAGTTGTTTTTTTTATGTGGTTAGAGTAAAATTCTCATTTTGGGACAGCA